TTAGTATCAAAAATTATTCCTGAAAAAGAAAGGGACAAAATTGAAGAGGCGTTAAGGAGAAACCAATTGGTTAAAACTTTAAATTACTTTTTTCTTTTTTTTGGGGGGGGGAGGAATCCTGAAATGGCATAGCCCGAAAAGAGATCAACCCCCCTTGAATTCAACACCATTTTATTTCCGGTTTCCAGATTCTATCACTTTCCCAGGAAAATTTCCAGAGAACTCATTTCCCCAGTGTAGCCCCCATGTTAAGAGGATTAGAATTAACCCAGGAAATTTCCAGACGACCCAAACAAAATCACCAGAGAAGAAGAAGAAGAATTCAAAGGCTTTGAATTTCATCCCCAAGTAAATCGCCCTGAAAATTTGCCGGATTAAAAAGAATAAAAGAAAAACCAGTTCAGTTTTAAGCCTCCGGCCCCAAAAAAAAAAAAAAAAAAAAAAAAAAAAAAAAACTAATGCACAGAGGGTTTCTGGTTTAATGGTCTGAAAGTTGTAGGTGAAGAAGCCAATGGCAGTACCTGTGAAGAACATGAAGGAAACTGTGGTAAGTTTTGATGACGATTGTGATCTTTTTCTCTGTTATTTTTCACAATGAATTTCAGAAAAGAACCATCCATTTCTTCCACCGCCATTGTTGAATCATTCGAAGCTTTATTACCAGAGTCTTGAACTAACCTACCTCCATTACTAGACCTCTTCTTCTCCGCTTCCTCCGCTAATCTTCTCAGCAGCTTCTCCTCTGCATCTCTCAAGAACTTAAACTTTGGAGGAGGTGATGATCTAAACCTACTGAAACTATCTCCATCTCCAGACGATTCAAAGAGCGGATTGAACAATCCATGGAGATGAAAAGTATCTAAACTGTTCAAAGGTGGAGACTTTAAGTGAGGAGAAGCTAGAGGGGTAAGGAAAGGAGAATCAACCGCCATCACTAGGTCACTCAAGCTTCTGGTGGTTGACCTTTCACCTCTGGATTTCCCATCATCAGATTCTAAATCCTCATTCGTCTCCTCCTTGATTGTGAACAGGAACCTTGGCGGGCCAGCGAGGTTATGAAGTCTCATGAGCTCTGCCTCCACACCTTCTTCCCCAAATGCTTTTAGCAAAAAGTCTTTGCTTGAACCCAACTCAAGGTCTCGTTCATGGCAGTTCCCATCTGGGTTCATCAAAAGTTCCTGATTACTGTTGTTATTTCCGCCATTGATGTT